TTTTTTTTTAAGTCAACTGTACCCACAACGTGGGGCTTGAACTCATGACCCTGAAAGCAAGAGTCATATGCTCTACTGATGAGCCAGCCAGGCACCCCTCATTTTGGTTTTTTTCCTTCATGATGAAATACCTGGTTGACTAGCTTCTATCAATGAACGTCCAAATGAAAGTAAATATTCACCTTGTTTGTTAATAATTTACATCTTTGTCTCAATTGTATTGAGTCAGAGATAACTCCATTCTTCTCACTATATGTTTGGTGTCATCATTTCTGTTTTTCTATTTTCCTTTTGTTTAGATAATAATAATAGGGAAAATGCAATAAAATAATCCACATGATTGCAAGATGTAGTTAGGGATTTTATAATCATTTTTAGCTGGTTGAGATTGAAAGCCCCTTAAATGTGTTGGAATTTCCCAACTTACTTTGGGGCTATGAAGAATATATTATAAAGTAGATGGCTCCAATTTATAGAACAAGAAAGATGAAAAATCACTAAATAAAAAGAATCTTTTTGGAAACTTGTGTTAAGCAGGCCCTAGGGACATAAAGGAGCTAAAAATATAAAGATCAGAATCTTTGAGGATGAAAAATGGGTAACAGTAATCTAAAACTCTTTCATTGTAAATAGTTTCAGAGAAAGCATTCACTTATATCAGAACTCATATTTAGTGAAAAGAAAGATTAATTTGTAAAGAAAGAAATGCAGAGATAATAAAATGGTCAGAAAATTAGTAAATCAGACTTCGAAACATGGATAAATTAGCAGTGTAACTACACATATCTACCCATCCACTTACTTTAAGAAGAATTAACTGGAATCACTGTTAGGTTAGCATGGCATAACCATTTCCATCCCTTAGTGGAAAAAAGAAAAAAGGTTTGAATTTTTCAGATCAGAGACCCTAGAGTAAACTTTTAACCCCAGGTATTTTGTATAGGCCCTGTAATACCTGTTAGCTGTTGATTTAAAATAGAAAATAGGGGCGCCTGGGTGGCGCAGTCGGTTAAGCGTCCGACTTCAGCCAGGTCACGATCTCGCGGTCCGGGAGTTCGAGCCCCGCGTCAGGCTCTGGGCTGATGGCTCGGAGCCTGGAGCCTGTTTCCGATTCTGTGTCTCCCTCTCTCTCTGCCCCTCCCCCGTTCATGCTCTGTCTCTCTCTGTCCCAAAAATAAATAAAAACGTTGAAGAGTGGGCCTCATGGGTTCCATCAACCTTTAAAAAAAAAAAAAAAAAAGAAAATAGACTGTGGGTGCCTGCCTGGCTGAGTCAGTGGAGCATACAACTCTTGATCTCGGAGTTGTGAGTTCGAGTCCCATGTTGGGTGTAGAGATTGCTTAAAAATAAGATCTTTAAAAAAAAAAAAAGTATTGTGTGATTGAGAGCAAGATGCTAGTGGAGAAAAAAATCACTAGATTAGTTTAGCCTGCAGGGGCTGTGCCCCACTTGGGAGAGGAAGAAAGAAGTGGTCTGAGGAATGAACATCACCTCTGAGCCTAGTGACTTGGCTCAGGGCCAGGCATTAGCCACATGACTTAGGCAGAGCACTTCTCCGGGCCTCCGTTTTTCCTTTGCAAAATGTAGCGATGCTATTTCGGTAATTCTGCAGCCCCTCTGTGATCAACAGTAATTCCTTTATAAGAGGGAAAGAGTTGCAGGTAGAGGTGGGAATATGCCAGAGAAGTGTGCCTGACTTCGTGTGGTTCCTTAGGCATTCTTGCAAGCTACACTTCTGTGTCCTGCCTTTGCTTTTACCTGAACAGTTGGTACAAGGTAATAGTTAACATTACCACACATTACTTGTGAAGATTAATAAGGTTAATTTTATAAAATGGCTTAGAGTTTCTTGAATGAAAGGAAGTGTAAACATGAAATTGTGTTAATATAACCTTTGATCTGACCTTTTGGGGGAATAAATCATATCGTTACTGGCTTCTTCCTGTATATTGTATAGTAATTAATTCCTCATATGTGAGTGATCATTTGTATTCCTTGGAGAATTTTATTCACTTAGAAAGTTAAAGTTCTGAATATAAAAATTTTTAGTAACTGCCACATTTGCCTTTACGATGGCATTTGTAAGGTTTTATTGGGGAGAAACATGCAAAACGAAGTATTAGCATACCTTAAAAAGCAAACAATATTACAGACAAGAAAACAATATCAGCAGAAGAGAGGGATATGGAAGGGAGAAAAGTAAAGAAATTAAACTTGAACAAAAGTGGTAATGGCAGTCTTTCTCAAGAAATAGGCAAACAGTATTTTAAAATATACAGAAATTACCCATCAACATATCTTATAGCTTGAGCCCATCTGAAAGCAAAGGAGCTGGGTTGTCTTTGTGTCTTATAGTATATAACCTTGCGGAATTGAATATCACTTTTGATTACAGGGAGCCAAAACAAAGCTTGAGGTTAGGATCTGAGATGGAGATTAATAGGCATATTGGTATAACACTTCTTGGAGTAGGTACTTGCCTGGAGACATGATGGCCTAGAATTGAAATGTCTATCTTTAAAAAAATAAAAAAAGTGTGAGATGAATAATAGAATGGGGGTGAAGGAAAAGGGTTTCAATTGTGTTTTTAACGGGTCAGTGTCAGTCTCTTTGCTTAGTGTGATTATAAAAATCATTTATAAATTCTCTATTAATACATTTCCCCAATCATTTTAGATTCTAGATTTCATTGTTAAAAGTTTAATCAAGTTGGGACGCCAGGGTGGCTCAGTCAAATAAGTGTCTGACTTCAGCTCACGTCCTGATCTCGTGGTTTATGAGTTCAAGCCCCACATTGGGCTCCATGCTGCGTGGACCCTGCTTGAGATTCTCTCTCTCTCATGCCTTCTCTCTCAAAACAAACTATAAAAAATATTAAAAAATAAAAAGTTTAACAAAGAGAAAGGATTAAAGGTCTATCACCAGCAACCATATGTAGAAAACTGATATCTGGAGAAAGTTTTCTTTTATTTCTGTCTGTTTGATGTGCAGTAAACCTGCTCAGTGAAGTAATTCAGGTAAGATCATCTATACAGACAGTATGGCACTGTAACTTAATTCTTTGGTAAATGCCAACGCATGTAGTTATATATATACATGTAGTTACGTAGAAAATCTTAATTATATACACCACTCAAAAGGTTACTCTGTTAGGAGGACACTTTCATAAATTAAAAGGTACTTGGGTAACATGAATCCGTCAGGCATGCCAGGAGCTGTTCTAGATCTACAACTCTTCCATTTAGCTGAAAATCAGCATTTTAAGTGGTAGAAACATTTTTAGTTTGACATTTTTATATATACAATGTCCCTGATGTCTTAAATAGTCTGCTGAACACAAGACATTAATCAAGATATTTTGATGGGAGTTCAGCTTTAAATATCCTTTATTGGAGGTACTGAAAGTGTGGATGCAAAAGCAGAAGTATGTGTGTTAGAACTGAGTCAAATGGTCACTGCCACCATATGCTTTGAATTAGCTTTTATGGAAGATGCCCTGATATCAACCATTTAGTTTCTAAAAGTATTTTCCCCACAGTGGGCCTGAGGCAGGCATTCTCTCAACTGTCTTCTACTGGAACCAGTATGCAGAGAGTGGCCTGAAGGCTCCTGTTTTGGCTTTTTTCTCTCTGCTTGCTCCCTTCAAGTCCCATAAAATATTCATGTTACCTTGTACTGTTATTGGAGCTTTTTTTTTTTTTTTTTTTTTTTTTTTTTTTTTTAACACTTCTGCTTTTGACATATCCTAGGCTGGTGTTCGTTTTTTCTTTTTGTCTTGTTCAATTGGGTATAAATAACTATCTGATACAGCATATCTTTCATTATGACTCTTCTTGCAGCTAGTGGATGTACCTCCCATGGGTGGATTGTCCGCATGTGACGCGTTTAGGGCCCAAAGGGCTGTTAATGAGCTTATTATGCACATTCACTTCTGCTTCCTGGTGTTTTCTTGCTCTTGGGTATTCCTTACTGTGCTCTACTCTTACGTTCTTTCTCTTCTCTCATGTCATTTGTTGTCTCCCTCTCATTTTCACCTTTGGTGTGAAAAGTTTGACCTTTTATAAATATTGTTTTCATTCAATTCTTATAGTCCATGTGGAGATCTCGCCACTATAACAAATTGAGTCAGCTCAAATAATCACTGGATCTTTGAGCTGTTCTTGACTGTTCTGTGACTCACAAAAAGAATTTGTTAGTCTCCCTTCCTCTGGTTTCCACATTCCTCATCTGTTTCCACATCCATAGCTATTTGGACATATGTTATCTAGAAAGTTGTGGTTTTGTTATATTAAGCTTTTAAAATTCATTCCAGTCTATGGAGATCAGTAAATGTCTGTACTATGGACAAAAGTGGATTCTGAATGGATCTTTAAAGAAATAAGAATTGTTGGGGCACCTGGGTGGCTCATTCGGTTGAGCATCTGACTTTAGCTCAGATCATGATCTCACAGTTTGTGGGTTCGAGCCCCACATCAGGCTGTGTGCTGACAGCTCAGAGCCTGGAGCCTGCTTTGGATTCTGTGTCTCCATGTCTCTCAGCCTCTCCCCCGCTCATGCCCTGTCTGTCTCTCTCTCTCAAAAATAAACATTAAAGAAATAAGAATTGTTAATCATGTAAGCATAACATTTCAAAGGGCCAACTGAAAATGTTTTTATAATTATGTAAATCTGTAAGTAAGATGAAGAAGTCAAATCAAAGGATTCCATTTCTTAAAACAGTTGTCTGTCTCACTTGCTGTTTCTCAACAGTATTGTATACTTTTGTGTTTGATTTTTAAAAACCAGCAAGCCAAAGAATATACTTGGCCTAAATGTGTAAACCATTTAAGAAGTTTAGGCTCCTAGAGGCACCTGAGTGTCTCAGTTGGTTGGGCATCTGACTTTGGCTCAGGTCATGGTCCTCCCCTGCGGGTTCTAAGCCCCGTGATCAGCTCAGGCTGACAGTTCAGACCCTGGAGCTTGCTTCCGATTCTGTGTCTCCCTCTATCTCTGCCCCTCCCCTGCTCGTGCTCTGTCTCTCTCTGTCTTAAAAATAAATAAAAACATTTTAAAAAAGAAGTTTAGCCTCCTAAAGATGGTGTCATTTTATGGAACTGTAGTTCTCTTGAACAAAAATATTTGAGGGGATAAGGATTCCATCAAAGTCAAAGCAACATTTTTCTTTCTTTCTTTTTTTTTTTTTTTCTATTTCACAAGCACACATTAATAGTCTGTTGTAAAACACCAAGGATTGAATTGGAAGAGATGGGGCCCTCATTGGATCTGGTTCTGAGGAGGACACATCTGGCGTCAGATGATCTTTACAGATTATCTATGAAAATGCCAAAAGCCCTCAAGGTTTATAACTTGCAGATTGGTGCCATATTTATTTGTATATTCCACTCTTCTTTCCAAAAAAGATTAGCAGCATAGTACATTAAAGAACATACAGAAAGAGATCGATAAAATAGATAAAATTAGACTCTCAGAACAAAGAAAAGGAGGAAGAAGCACATAAGCCAACCATAAAGGATAATAAAAGAGCTGTAGAAACCATGCATCAACTATGGCTGAGAGCTTTCTGGTAGCCAAGACTGCCAGTTTTCAGCAAGAAAGAATTGTGTGGGGCGTTGTGGAGATGGAGGATTTAGAGCACAGGATGTGTAACTCATATTGTTTAAAATGTGTTTGACTTTTGAATGGTTTTGAAAAACAAGTAGAAATGGCTTCTCTGGAATGCCAATAAAGATTGACTAGATAGTCACAATTCCTTAAGCTAAACACAGGAAATTCTCTCACTGGATGACAATGGTTAGTGTAGTCTATAGTATTGCTTTTCAAATGTTGTCTGACAGTTTACCTGGGAGTTGTTAGAAATGCTGAGTCTCAGGTCCCTAGGCCTTTTGAATTATAATATGCATTTTAACAAGATCCTTAAGTGATTTGTATGTACTTAAGTTTGGGAAGAAAAGTCTGTAGGCTTATAGACTATATTATTGAGTAGGAGCTCACGAATGGAAATTGTTAGTAAGACCTTTGTTGTACACTAGATTTTTACCAGTTTATGGTAGTAGAGACCATTACCTATATATATATGTATATATGTATATATATATGTATATTCTTCTTTCATAGCCAAAGAAGAAGAAAAATGTCTCCCATGACACTTTTGGCACAACTTATGGAAGGATTCATATGCAGAAGCAAGACCTAAGCAAACTACAAACCAGGAAAATGAAGGGGTTGAAGAAGCGACCTGCAGAAAGGATAACAGAAGACCAGGAGAAAAAATCAAAGAGAATTAAAAAAAATTGATGGAACTAGCCAATAACTGCAGTGTTATTGTAGTCTGTTTACCTAATAGAGTTATCAAGCATCAGTCATTTCAGAGTTTCTTACAAGATTTTATTGTATATTTTTATAACATGGTAATTTACCTAAACTATATATAAATTTACCTAAACTTAAAAATATTATGAATTAGGTTGAAAGTAAGCCTCTTTTGATATATATATTTTTTAAATTTTTTAAAATTTATTTTGAAAGAGCACAAGTGGAGAAGGGGCAGAGAGAGAGAGGAAGAGAGAGAGAATTCCAAGCAGGCTGTGCACTGTCAGTGCAGAGCCTGATGCAGGGCTCGAACCCACAAACCGTGAGATCATGACCTGAGCCGAAATCAAGAGTCAGATGCTCAACCAACTGAGCCACCCAGCTGCCCCCTTTTAAATATTTTTTTTAATGTTCGTTTATTTTTGAGAGGGAGATAGAAAGCATGTGCGTGGGGGAGGGGCATAAAGGGCGGGAAGAACAATCCCAAGCAGGCCCTGCACTGCCAACACAGAACCCCATGTGGTGCTCAAACCCATGAACTGCGAGATCACGACCCAAACTGAAATAAGAATCAGATGTGCAACCAACCTAGCCACCCAAGCATCCCAAGTCTCTTACTTGAGACTTATCCTGGTGGGCCATTTTCTTTCAATGTTATGGTATTCCCTTTGCCCTCTACCCACCCCCCCTCCTGCAAAGTCTCCTGTCTCATTGGATTGGTAGGTGAGGAGGGATCTCCAGAACAACGATTGGTATTTTAAAGAATTTCTGGATTAAGCTTTCAATAAAGGGAGGAAGCCATGGAAAGTGGAATTGGCCCAAAGGAACTGTATACACGCTCAGTATGAACTACCTGGAAAGTTAACCCCATCTTCCAGCACAGACCTATAGTCTGACTTTTGTTTTTTTACCTTTCTGTTACTTTATTTTGCCTGTTTGAGATTCATTTGAGATTTTTAACTTTGCATCTTAAAACATTTCTCTAAGAGCATGTCCGGTACCTGATCATTGACATATTACCATACTATTGGTTTTTTTTGTTTCAAGTTTTTATTCAAATTCCAGTTCATTCACATACATACAGTATAATACTAATTTTAGGTTGTACTATTGGTTATCTGAAGAGATTCTGCCACTAAGCCCTATCCCCACTCCTGTGAAAGAAAGGCAGTGTTAGTAGGGCTAGAAGTGAGAGAGGAGAGAATGGGTAAGTTTTGAGACAGAGGGCACTTTAGGTACTGAGTAGCCCTGGGTAGCTAAAGGTCACATAAAGGCCCTGGGTGTTTGCACAGCAAGTGGGAATAAGCAAAAGCCAAACAGCTTGTTTTGAAATTTTCTTCAAGATGGGCCTTGTGCCTAGGAAATGGGAAGAAACTGTCCACTTCCTCCTCCTAGTGTTGCATACTTGTTTTCCTTAAATGTCGAATTTAGGTTCCTGGTAAAGAAGCTCCTTCATGCAAGTGCAAACCTACCATGTTGTAAAAACACAAACCTCTATAAACTATGATTGTTCTAGGAAGTGGAAATGTTTTGTTTTTGATTCCATGTCAGGGGCCTGTGTGTACATTTATGGGAGTTTGCTGATACTAAGCCAAAGCTAGAGCCTCGGTTTTACCTTCCATATATTTTCCCTTGTAAACCTATTCCTTGGCCTTCCCTCTCCCCTTCCCTTTCCAGATGGCTAATACCTCTCATAAGAAAGGAGCTGTTATTATTCATTTACACTTATTGCTTGATTATACATTTAACCAAAGACCAAACATCTGAAGCAGATGTTTACGTTTTATATTTTATGTCTGAATGGGGAGGAAAAGTTAAAATAATTCATATCCAGCCATCTATAAGTAAATGGATAATAGGTGGGGTGAAGGGGAGTCATGAAAGGGGCATCAGAAATAGTGAATGCAGAGTTCTTCCCCAGTGCCTGACCCCAGACTTCCAGCTAACACTTCGGGAAATAGTGATGCAGCAAAGCAATGGGTCACATTAGCCACCTACAGGAAGGATCTTGTCATACGTTGACCTCTATCCCAGCAATTCAACTGATTTTAATGTACAGATGGCCACATTTTTGGTATGTGGGTCATTATCTTGGAGTGTTTAAAAAATTTTTGAGATTTGGTAATGCATCCTTTTGTCTCCTATGTAATTTTTTTTTAATGTTTTATTTTTGAGAGAGAGTGCGTGAGCAGGGGAAGGACAGAGAGAGAGGGGGAGTCACAGAATATGAAGCAGGCTCCAGGCTCTGAGCTGTCAGCACGGAGCCCAATGCGGGGCTTGAACCCATGGACCGCAATATCATGACCTGAGCCAGAGTTGAATGCTTAATGACTTAGCCATCCAGGTGCCTCGCTTATGTAATTTTTATCTCAGATTATAGAGTGTCTAGTAAGTGTTTGCATCCTGTTCAGTAAGAGAAGTATATAGTATTACCAGAAAATGTAGTGGCCTTTTTTCTTCTTTTTCTCTTTTTTTTTTTTTTTTTAAAGGAATCTTTGTCGTAGTTGTTGAGCCATCTGGAACCCTTGATCCACCATTTATATCACCATTTCTGTGGAAAATACGTTTTAATTTCCACTTGTCCTTGAACTTAGGACACAGCATACATAAATTGGAGAGGTGGTAAACTGCCTGTCTGTCTTCGTTTTTACTTAACACTTTGGATTTTGGTAGATGAAGAATTTTTTTTTTAATACCAAATTCTTCTTTTTTCTAGGTTGTTAATACTGATACCAAGTTATATATAATTTCATGAAATTTGGTTCCTTTTTATAACCTAAATGCTACTATTTGTTTTCTTGGTATTGAACATAATCCAAAGTAGAGATGTTATTACTCAGGAAAGGAAGAAAAGAATTCACCCCAAGTCAGTTTTCAGTTATCTGATTACCTAGCTTCTTCTGATCTCTCTTTCCTTTCGTTTATACTGTTAGCAATTTCATGTCCCCCCAACCCCCAGGTGGGGCCGGGAGAAAAGCTTTATTTATAATAGAAGAAGTTAAAACTATTCCTAACATTTGACCAAGGAAAGGCTTGTTTTTAAACCGAATTTCAGGGGCACCTGGGTGGCTCGTTCAGTTGAATGTCAGACTTAGGCTCAGGTCACGATCATGTGGTTCATGGATCGAGCTCTGTGTCAGGCTCTGTGCTGACGGCTCAGAGCCTGGATGGAGCCTGCTTTGGATTGCGCCTGCTTTGGATTGCGCGTGTGTCTCTCCCTCTGCCCCTCCCCTGCTTGCTCTCTGTCTCTCTGAAAAATAAACATTAAAAACTCCTAAAAATAATAATAAACTGAATTTCAGTTATTGGTGCTTTGTCCATCATAAAATTCAGTGCCTGCAAATAAATATACAGGGTCTTCATTATATCAACAGTATTTTTAATAGATCGTCAACATGGTCAAAATATCCCCAAGCCGCATTAAAGGCAAATATATCCTACCATATCTTCTACACAATTGAATAATGTTTTACACAATTTCATTATGTATATAATGAAATATATATGAATAATATTCTACACATTAATTGAGATAAGTTACTATGGACCAGGAGGTAAAATGGGCTCACTGGCTTGAAGTTTATACTAGCTGTGACAAAGTCAACTTGCTTTTAAATGTGTATTGTTTTTCTCTTAAACCAACAACTTGAGTTCAAGTTTAAAAATAGCAAAACTGTCACTATGTTTCCTGTATCACCCAGAGTGGCCCATGTTAGGATTTAACTGTGCTTAGGTTGAATTGGAGCCGTTTGCACTTTTTCCATTTGAAAGCTCTTTGGGAAAGAGTTTTAAAATAAGGGGAATATATAAGGTAAGCCTTTCTTTTTAGATAACATATGCATTTTAAGTCTATTTTTGTTCTTTTAAACAACTTTCCCTCCTCCCTCCCCAAATCCATTCCCCCCCCCCCCCCCCCCCCACCTCCACCTTCACACCCACTCTAGGGCATCAGAAAATGTGTTCCAAATACGGGAGAAATGGCTGGCACCACAAGCTCCTGCTGAGCAGGGTTGGGGCTTGTATGAAAGATGGCAGATCATGGGGAAATGACAAAGCTTGTAGAACTCAGCAGTTAGCATTTTTGCCAAGCAAAGATGAAAGCCCCTGAACTTTACTGGGGTTGGATTGGTTCTTCAAACTGAAAGCCAGGGTTCTGAGGGCTCAGCAAGAAGCAGAGTGGCGGGTGTTGGCTCTGGGAGGCACACCCTCCCACTCAGCTGCAAAGGCACCACATTTGGGTGCCTGATCAGGGTAAGGGGCTTGAAGCCAGGCCTTGTTCAGGTAACCCCTCTGTCCATCTCAGAATGCTGGAAGTGAGCGCAGGGGTTCTTGGAAGCAAAGTGCAAACTAGTAGGTGCATTTGAAATAGATTGGAAGATTCACATTCATCAACTTGAGGAATTTACTACCTCAGTCCCTTAGCTAGTTCCCCAGAGTCCTCTGACAGAGCAGATGGCAAGGGGACCTAACAGACCTCACTTTAGATGACGACCTGTGACAGCATGTCTGGTTCAGCCTCTCAGAGGCAGCTTTCAGGTTTATGACCCTGGAGGAAAGAGCATGAGAATTCATTGTCCCCATTAGGCCCCATTTCCATCCATTTAGCTCATCACTTAAAGCTAGCCCAGGTCACAAATGTGTTTTGAGTTTTACCCCCCAGCACCTTTCTCCATATAAGGGGACCTTAGGGAAGGATTAGATGGAATCTTGAAAAATCAATAAAGCACAAACGGCAGGGGAGCTCCTTAAAAGAAATTCTGACTGGAATACATGGGAGGGAGGCAGTGCAGTGTGGGGTTTGGGGAAAGTTGTGGCATTAAAAGAAACTGACTCCTGATGCTGAGAGCTCAGCTGAGATTTAAAAGGTCAGGAATCTGGGGTGCCTGGGTGCCTCAGTCAAGTGTCTGACTCTTGATTTCTGTTCAGGTCACAACCTCATGGTTTGTGAGTTTGAGCCCTGTGTTGGGAGAGCCTGCTTGGTATTCTCACTCTCCTCTCTCTGCCCCTTCCCTGC